CCCCCACCATAATCCGCTGATCCACCCAGGACAGGGTGACACTAACCCGCCGGTTAGGTGGTGCAGGACTACGGGAACAAGACAGGCGGCTCACTAGGATCTCCCGGGGCCCTGGTGAGCCTAATCTTTTGACCGGGTGGGACAGCCACTGATGCGATGCCCCTTCTGGCCACAGTCCTCCCCTGAATCGGTCCTTCCGTTCGGCTGGGCTAATGCGCGTGCGTCCCAGCTGAATGGGCTCCTCCCCGGTCGCCGTCTGAGACGTGGAAGGCCGGAACAGACTGGGCGAAGTAGAGTGGACGAAGACGGGGTTCTTCTCCCGCGTGCTTGGGACGGGGGAACAGGGGGGGGGGTCCCCTGGGAACTCGCTCCCGCCTTCTCTCACAGAGGCGTCCATCGATGCGGATGGCGAGACTGACGAGGTCATCGAAGGAGGTGGGCTCCTCCCGTGTAGCTAGCTGGTCCCTCACTGCCTCGCGGAGTACTCTTTGAAAGGTAACCCGAAGGGCTGAGTCATTCCACCCGCGCTCTGCAGCGGCCAACCTAAACTCAGAGTAGTCCGCCACACTGCCCTGTTGGACGCTGGCCAACCGGGCACCAGGGTCCTGACCCCTTACTGGATGGTGGAACATCTTACGGAGCTCGGCCACGAACTCCCTGTAGGAGTGACGAAAGCTGGCACCCATGGACCAGGAAGCGGCAGCCCACTGGTGAGCAGGTTAGTCACATATGCGCCTCGGGTAGCGTCGGAGGTGTACCGGCTGGGTTGGTCCTGAGGAAAAGGACACTGTGGCCACGGCTCCTAATCTCCCAGAGACGCAACTGGTAGGACAGTATGATTTATTGTTTGTTCATGCTTTGCTTTACTTAGTGAAATGTGTCATTTCAATTAAGTAATGGAGACTTATCCTAGGTTTATCTGAATTTGGTTTGAGAATTCAGCCGCATTTATTTATTATTACTTTAAGAAAGTGATTATCGAAATGTACTTGACCAATTCATGAGTTTTGCTTTGTGTTTGAAAGGTTATCAACCTGCTGTTCTTTGTCTTATCCACCAAACCACCCTTGAAAATAAAGGATCATAAAATAAACAGTTCTCGAGTTGTCATTTGCGTCCACCGGAGAGAAAGTGCTTTTCAAGTTTGGGCAGAGCCGTGGTTAATCTGAAAAATCCCACAAAACTTGACAGTGAGTAAACACCAACTCACACTGCATTGTGAAGGTGGCACAAGTCTCAAAGTCACCCCCGAACGGTTGTGGACTGGAAAGGCCGGGTTCCTGGGTTAACGGGGCGAACACCGCAGGACTTATCGGGAGGGGATCCCCAGGGGGCGGATTCACTGCCCTCACAGGTGCAGGCTGGTTCAGCGGCAGGGTGGTGAGTCAATGCCCGTAGCTGCAGTAGATTCTCCGCTTGCTTGGCCGCCGACGCCACCTGCTGCTGAGTCAGACTCTCCACCGAGGCTTGAAGTGGCTGGACCTGGAGGTTCTGCACAGCAATGGCGGCCGCCTCCAGCTGGTGCGTGTGGTTGTCCGTCAGCTAAAGGGGTCTATCCAGGGCCACTTGTAAAGAGCCACGATCTGTGTCATCATGACAAGTTCGTACTGTTATGGTTTGTCTTCGACCCCAAGTGCACAACACCAGACAGAGTTTATGTTCAGCCAAAAATACGGCGTAGTTTATTATTTCACAAGAACTCAAGAGCGTAAGGTTCCGAGGAACAAACAAAAACTGCCTCCTTAACTGGCAGGGGAAAACAAAAGAAAACAACTCAAAATCCCTTAGTCCATGGGCACTCACAGTTCAACAAAAAAAAAAAAAGGAAAACTCACTCTCAATAATCCAAAGGGAAAAGTCTCTCATAGGTATCCACAGGGAAGTCTCCAAACGACGACCGATCTCTCCGGAAACAGGGCATTTTCTACTTCTCACATGTGGAAGATCTGCCCATATCAGCTCAGGATATCAAAGTAGGCACCAGCAGGGATTCGTTGCTGAGTAAAGTTTGGAGCCACACAATGAATGGATGGCCCAATCACACGAACGATGAAAGCCTGAAACCATACTTTGTCAGGAGACATGAGCTGTCCGCAGACCAGTGTTGTGTTTTGTGGGGGCTCAGAGTAGTGGTGCCTCAAATGCACCGACAGCGGATACTTAAAGACCTGCACCATAAACACCCAGGCGTCTGCAAAATGAAGCCCTTAGCCTGCAGCTATTTATGGTGGCCCGGGTTGGACGGTGAGATTGGGGACATGGTCCAGAACTGTACAGTTCTAGCTAGTGGTCCTAGCTCTTATTTCTCAGCATAGTAGTAACGATACGATTTATGTGTACAAGGATTGTATTCTGTTAAGGTTTCGGAAAGCTCTCGAGGGAGGCCTCACTCCTTGTCCTCGTCCCGGCCGGAAACGAGGACACGAATGAGTCAATTCGTTTAAATTCAAAAATCAAAAGTTATTTAATAACTGAACAACGGTATAAGGAATGCAATTACAAAGTGAAATACTAAGCGAACAGTGGAATATTTCGCGAAATAGAGAATCCTCTGAGCAAGTCTAAAGTGACTTTTCAAGGCGGCTGCAGGTCAGATTCTACCAGTCCTTTCCCCCGCCATGGTCCTTTGAAAACTCTTGAGGTGTGTCTTCCTTGGTGCATTTGAATGTCATTGGCTTCTTCTCCAAAGGGCCACCTCCTGGACTGTCCCCTTCACGTCGAGGTGTGAAGCTGCAGCTGTAACCTGAAACCTCTCTGTCCTATCTGTCCCTCAAATTCCAATGCACTCAATGTAGATACAGTTGGCTTTATGCCCCAATGAGTGAATTTAACAAAGCATACATTGTTTAAGTCTTCATCTTATAACTAGTACACTTTCATTACAACAACCCATCATTAATGATCACTGTTCATCACACTTGATCATAAGATTTAAGATAGTTCTTGTGGTTCAATTCTCAAGACATTTGCCTCAGTCGGCTGCCTCGCATTAAGTTGTTCATTTATTACCTGACAGGAGAAAAAACTCCCAAAAAACCCTCTTTGGGGATAAAATTGGAAGAAATCCATAAAGAACGGCAATTGGCATCCGTCCCCAGGTTTTAACATCACATTGTGACAGAATGTTAATGTGTACAGTGTTTATATGATTTAAATGACTATGAATTGTGTTTGATTGAAATTGCATTCACTTCATCTAACATGTTAATGTAATAACTAATATCTAACATCACACAAACTATAATTCTAACACTAAACATTATTACACGTACTGTAATTTCCTGACTAGGGGTGCACTTCTGGCTTAAATCCCTAACAATTCAGAAAAAGTCATGTCTAAAATGATTCATTATCAAATAACTGCTTAGACCTCAAAACAAAGTATCCAACAATAACCTCTGTGCACCCATGTGTACCAATCTGAGTTACTAAGCATTGAAAGAAAACAAATGATTCTGGAACACCTGTGATGTAATCTCTTTTGCTTACTTTTCACATAGTCGAGTGCAACAGGTTTCACAAGCACACTTAATCCCACCGCTTGTGTCACTAAAGCAGGTGTTATAACATTACAGGTCATTTAGCAGACACTTTTATCCAAAGCGACTTACATTACACTTTAAACCCATGGCTTTTTTCACATTTTTGCCTGGGGAGCAATTAGGGGTTAGGTGTCTTGCTCAGGGACACTTCGACATAGATGGGGCAGCCTGGACTCCAACCACCAACCTTGTGCTTCCCAGCACACCTTCTCTAACCCCTGCGCCACGACTACCCATAACAGAGCTTGAGGGGTAGTTACGCTTTGTAGAGGCTTGAGATTGGTTTCAGTGAAAGTAAACATGTAAGGAAATATTTAGGTTTAATATGATAAATAATGTGTTTCACTCAACGCCTCTGATGCAATGTTTGAAGTCAACACTAATGAGAGCTCATGGGAGGGTACGTTGCATGCTTTATTTTTCAAAGTTTATTTTTGTAGGGGAGCTAAGTTGTAAATGGTCAACAGGCCATTATCTCTATTATCCCTGGAGAGCAATTAAACAAAGCTTGCTACCCTGGAGGGGCACCCCGGGAAATCAAAACAAAACAAAGATGTTTTTCAGTTTAGCAAATGGTCAAGAGAATGAACCATCACAGTAGCGTAACCCTCACCAAGTTAGTGTTTGATTTGGAAAAAAGACTGCTGACTTTGTGACCTCACACATGTTTGACGACCGACCTGATCACACAGAAAAACGTGAAAGGACCACAATCTCTATACAGCAAAAAAAGAAAGCAATATAAACCAATCATAATGAGCACTTCGAGCCCCGTGCATCGCCACTGCTGCTTTTCATCGTGGATACATTTGTCCCGTATTTTCCTTTGTTCACGTCTCGAACCGGCAAACCGGCGTTTGCGGAGACCATGAATCCAACCCGCCAATGACGGCTTGTATAAGTGGTCATATTTACGCATTTCTTCCGACAAAAGTTCTTAAATCTGATCCGTTCCCTCGTAAACATTCTTTGTTTTAATAATGGAGGTATTGTGCTACAAAACCGGAAATGTGAGACTCCGTTAAGGATGTAGTTAGCAGACCAATCACAGCCTTGTGCGCTGTGGGAGGCTTGCGTCGCTTTTGAAAAATTAAAAATGGGTCGACGCATGCAAGGAGGTGTGAAAAGGCACGCAAGGGACACGCAAGGGGGTCTTGTGTCTGCGTCGCTCTGAAAACGCAGATGCATAAACTAGGCTTACCCAGTGAGCACAAGACGTAATTTCAACATTGAAATATGGTTGAAATCGGGTTGAAATGAGGTCTGCCCAGATAGCAATGAGTCAGCGGGCCGCCGGCGGTTTGCCAGAGATCGTAGCAGCGGCAGAATGGCGTAATCGCAAACTAATCGCAAATTTATTTATATAAATAAAAGGTTTATAGCATGCAGTTTATCTAGAATAATGATTGATCAAACCAGACAAATTTCCATTTGACGTTTTATTTCCACATTTCAGTACAGTATTGAAACAAGATGTGTCAGCACACTGAAATATAAATAAAAAAGATATATATACATAAAATATATATATATACACACACACACACACACAGAGAACATGCAGGGGTGTCAGTAGTCTAGACAAGCCTAGGTTTGAGGAGTCGGCTGTGGGTCCCTCTCTGTTGTGCGGCGCCTTTTTCCACCTTTGCGGCCAGATGCTCCTTTCAGGTAACCCATTACATTAACCTGGACCGCCTCATCAGTGGCATCCTGGGTTGCCGGATTCTTCCGTATGGCCCCTGTAGAAAATAGAGATCTGTCATTCCATTTGAATACACATCACATACACATCTACTTAAGAGAATATCTAACTGACTTTGAACAATGGTCTTCAGGAACAGGTCTTTAAAACAAGCTTTAGCCCCTACACCAGTCGAAGTTGTTGAAATTGAAAGGCGATTTGAGAAGATACTCTGAAGCATTCTCCACACGGTTGTCTTCAGGTCCTTCCCACATTTGATGGCCAAAAACCAGAGCCGAAAGTCCAAAAAAGTGCTCCAAATTACATTTCGCTGAAGCTTCTCATATCAAATGTGACAGGCTGTGAATTCAGACTGTCGAATATGCAGTGTACCTGATAGCCCAGTGCGAGCAAACGTCTTGATCATTGTCCCAACTTGCTTCACCTGCTCTTGAAGTGAGCTGCAGTCATCCGAAGCTGCTCGCGCATTGGTTCTCCTCCCTCAGGGCTTGGTTCTCCTCCCTCAGGGCTTGGAGCTCCGCCTGGAGTCTCTGGAAATCTACATAACACAAAAAACGGGATTCTGCAGGGTTTAGTCAGTCAAAATTTAAGACTAAGATCATTATATTACCACTATATTATGAGATATAGGTCAAGAATATACCTTCATAGCTGGAAACTTGCTGTACACGTGATTTCCGGGGAGTCCAAGGGCCCATTGAGTGTTGACTTTCTCCTATTGATAAATTGACAACAAGTTATTGCATATATTTATTGAATTGGACAACCTAGACACCTTTCATCCAGGGCAGTCAAGTGCCCTAATGAAGAACAGATTATGCATAAAAGGATTCCTAATCTTAAATAGAAGCAATAGTCTTAGACAAACAACGTCACTTACTTGTACTCAAACTCTTGGCTCTTAGAAGTGGAGACTGGAGCACTGGTGAGAAACCTTATTCTGAAAAATAGGAAACAGAAATGTGAAAATCTAACAAATGGTATAGTTTAGTGGCAGGATCACAAATTAAGCATCACACCAAACATTTTACATACCAGCTCTGAAGTCTACAGATGGCTCAACGTTTTCCTGGTTTTCTAGCCCGAATGAAACTTCTGGAGCATCGGGCAGCACGGAAAACTTGTTACCGGCAACACTTCTTTCAAAACTCAGCAAAGCTGGTGCATCCGGAAGAGTAGACTCCTCTTCATCCGAAGAGGCCTGGGGTCTGTACTTGGAATTTAAGATTCTCTTCCGCTTTCTCTTCTTGTCGTCGTCGGCTGTTGTTGTTTCAACGCTGGAACCTGTTTGGAAGCGCTCCAAATATCTTTTCGCCTCTTGCCAAGATTCTAGATCAGGGGACAATAACAGAGTCAGTTATGGGCCATAAACAAAGAAGTGACAGAAGAAAAAAAAATGCACAAGTCTCATGCCTCATACCTGCTCCCTTCATGAACTTAAAATGATGTTTTTCCCAGGTGCAGCGGATGGCTAAATTGTTGCCTTTGTCTTTCTTGCGGAGGGTAAATGGGGGCCAATAGCATATGGCCCCTCCTCGTCGATAAACTGAACAATGGCAAACAGCATCTAAAATACAAGAAAGAATTGTACAATACACATTTTTAGGCAAAATTCTCACCCCTTCAAAGAAATCTGTAATTTTCACGAGTGAATCAACGGAAAACCAGCCTTTCCTTCCGGGCAAGGAAGAAGATAATATTTCTTCTGCACATTTGCTGTGTGCGTAAAGTGGAGTGTATCTGATAGGCCAGATAAATGAAAAATGGCCAGCGTGGAAGATTCCACAGGGTAAGTAAAGAAATCGATCATGTTCCGGAACCTCTTGTAGATGACCAAAGTGTTGTCCATTTCATCAACAACGACATTCTGTATGACCTTATTTACCTTATTCTATGTCCTTATTTTCCAACAGGACACAGTTGTCTCCCTCCAAACATTTCACAACAAAGTCTTGAAAGTAACACTCCGCATACTGCTTTTTCACAGAAAGACCAGTGAGGAGTGGTCCATGGTTGTGCTCTCTCAAGGATCTTGTTTTGGAGAAGTTTGTTCTTTTGTGCTGACTTCTCTCTGACAATCGGCGAACAACCTGCTCCAGTGGTTGTGTAGGCTTACGCAACATTTTCTTCAGGCGCCCAAGGAAGTTTTCAAATGGGAAGCATATTATGAAGGACACCATACTTTTTGGCATCTTGCCTGAGGTGCACTAATCCATGCATGTTGTATGTCACTTGTTCTTTTCCATAAAGCTTGCTGCAGTGATCAACAAAGAGAACCAAAATTCTGTGTGCATAGTCTGCAAGGTCAGCACACAGGGACACATTCAGTAGGATGGTGATGCCAACTGAAAGCGGCATGAAGTTGTTGTACACTTGAGTTGGTACAAGGCATTTTAAGCTGGCTGGTCCAGTGTACAAGAGGAACTGCCTGAATTTAGTAGCTTTCCAACGCTCGACATCTTCCATGGATCGTTGCTTCCTGTTGAACTCGCACGTAACATGGGGTGTAAAGGTCAGGAGTACTCTGGAGAGCTCTTTTACCATGCTGGGCGAAAATCTTGTCGGCCGCCGTCCCTTTAGCCAAAGGTGTAACAGCTTTCTTGTCACTCCAAAGCATACCTGATGCATATAATCCAATGGGAACTGCGTGACCAAACCAACAGACAACAATGACAATGGCGTTTCTCCACATTGATGACTGTCATCAGAAAGTTCATCACAGAGTGCATCGTCTACTCTTAGAGTAGCATCTGTTTGAGGAAAAGTCATCCTGTTCTCGTAATGGACCCCCTTTTGAATACACTTGTCACACCCATAATATCCACTTTGACCTTTCACATTTCTAACAAGCGCACGAGCAGGGGCGTCACAGATGAATGTTGATATTTTGAAAGAAAGTGCTCTCCCTTCAAACAAACTTTTTCCGCTTCAAGCCGCTGTGCCTCTTCTACAAAAGGATTCAAAAAGTGAAGGCTGGTTGGCTTCTTTCCATAATAGAGACCAATGACAAACGGAAGTTTGTTTTGCTGGACAATACCCACGTATTGCTCAATTAAACCAAGAACTGGCCAGAACTGGGCATTTGAGCTTTTGAAAAGTCCATCAACATTAATTTGCATTGAAACTGACGTCAACTTCTGCAATTCAGGAGACATCAACACCTGCGATAGTATTCCACTTTTAATTCCAGAGTGATGGTATACACCACCTGAGAGTTCTGTTGTTTTAACACAAGTCACCGTTTTAAGAAGGGTTCTTGGGTCTTTAGGAAGGGTTGGATGATCCTTGGACAAAATGGTTAAAAGCTTACCAAGTGCCACATGTGGGATCATGTTGTCAATAGCCCACCCTGCCAATTTTGTCCTCTTCCTCTTCATCATCTTCTGTGCTTGAGGAAAACATCTCACCAGCTTCACATGCCTCATCAACAATTATTTCCTGTGCTACAGGGGTTACAGTTTGTACTTGGCTTGTTGTAGCCATTCCATGTAGATGTTCATTAACATGGGGATTTACTTGGTCAAAGTCAGGAAAGAGAGCAAGTAGAGCATTGTTTGCAGCCGCAATTTCCTTTTTATCCCTCTCGACTCCTTTGAATATTCTTCTCCTTTTGGCCCAGTAACTAGACATTGTGACTAACAATGCATTTACCTTTAAATCCAAAAAGATTGTCCAACAGTAGGTCACTTGGGTGAAGATAACTGGTAATGCTCTGGTCAAGGTATCTGCAAGAAAATGTACAAAGGAACAAAACGCATTGTTAACGTTAGGAATCAGTTGTTATGCCGTGGGGGGGGGGGGGGGAAAGATCCGGCAAAAGTATTCATTGAATTGTCTTCTAACATGAAATGTACAGCAGTTCACAGAATTACAAATCTGTTAGAAAACACCAAAAGTTAACCCGTGGGGCTGGCCTGGTGAAGGTCGGTTTTTTTGTGTGCCGATAAACAGACGGCAGCACTTCGAAACAAAACAACTATATTTAAGAAGGGTTTGACTTCATATTACATTTGAACTTTTTTTTCTTCATAATAACTACAATGGCATTAGTCCGGCGCCCCCCGCACTCGGAATGAACCGTGTATCTACAATTTACACTACTGATTAAAATGTACTTACCTAAACAATGGTACTCGACATCGATGACTTCAGACTCCAGGCTGTAGCAACTTCGAGTAGAACCATGTAAGAGACACGCCACTTCAACACGTGTTTTTAAGAAAAATACGTCACGGTAAAGATGGCGACTGTATGCACATGTCCCGCCCCTCCCGCTGGAAAGCCAATCATCTACTTCATGTCCCGCCCCCCCCCCCCCGCGGGAAAGCCAATCATCTGCTTCTTAAGCCGGGAAAAATGTAGGCCTATGGACAAGTTTATGAGCCGTTTCCGCTATACATCCTAAACTCCGCCCATTTATGCAATCCACTTCCGTTCTGGCGGGGTGGGTTGTTTTGCTAGCTAGCTGTTCCACCGACGGTCGCGCACAGAACAGAACCCTTGCGCATGCGTAGTAACAGTATAACCTGTGGGGGGAAAAGTCACCACCGTCTTAGCCCCCGCCCAAAAGACTTCTGACCACAAAAAAACACTGCAGTTCCGGTTTGCCGGCGGCATCTCGCTAGGAATGTGAGTGACGTAATCGGCGGCAAACGTTGTCTCCCCGCTAGCGGGACGCACCTATAGCCAACAGCTTAGCGCCGGCGGCAAATAGAAGCCGTGCCGATGTTTTTTGCTATCTGGGTGAACGTCTAAGACCTCATTTCAACATCTTTTCAACCGGCTAAAAATGGGATGAAACATCAACATGCCAGAAAACGTCTCCAAAATTTGTTGATAAATGTGTCATGTTGTAACGTAAGGTTGAAAGATAGACGATATTAACGTTAAGATTTTCATAATAATTAATGAACTGGTCGGCGAAATTTGGTCTACGCGAAGACGTAATTCCAACGTATTTAATATTTCACTTAAAACGTCATGAATATGAAACTATGGACTGCGTGCTGTTAATAAGATGCGTTTAAGACATAATAATGCGGGCAGGTTCAAACATTACTGTACTGTACTGTACTGTAAACACGCAACTCCGCTCACATCTGTAACACGCATGCGCAAGTTCTTAAGACGCCTGCAGAGCTCCGACCGGGTGCAGCACGAGGTGAAGTTACAGCAGCAGAGCGACATGAACGGACTGATAGAACCACGACTACCGGCTCCAATACTCTGTACGTACGTGAGTGTTTGAATGAAGCACACCTGGAACTATAACCAGGTGTTTTACTTGTGCTGCCCACTCGATACGGGAAAGACGGTGCTTTTTGTTAAGCTAGTTAGCATGCTAGCTTGCAGCATGCTAGCGTGCAGCATGATGACCTGGACCAAAAGTAAACATCCCAGAATATTTTTCGTGTGTTTGGTGTTGCTAATGCGTTAGATTGTTGCTATACCCATAAATATTATTGCATTTCACATTGAAAATACGTTTTTAAAGCAATAGGGCTAAATACAGATTGCAAGGGTGAAGGGCTGAATTCAACAAGTTGTGGTCTGTAAACAAGATGGCCAAAACATTGTAAGTTACTGCGTGCTTAAAGCATGATGCTGTGTAATATACCTGGAAATGTTACTCCAGAAATGCCATAAGTTGCAGATGAATTGTTATCTTGTTTATAATGTAATAAGTAAACAATCTATAAATGAGGGTTCTAACACACCTGCTGCTGTTATTATTATTGGTTTATTACTGTCATCATAAACCCAAATGACCAACTTTGCTGCATGAAATGTGGGATTTTCGGCAGTATGCGGCACTGTAAATTGTCGTGGAATTTCAGGTTTGCGGCAATTTGCGGGCAACGCCGAAAACTGCCGTAAATTGTCAGAAATTGATGTGGGCCTCCCTTGGCAGTTGTGCCCCCATGACCCCCCTCCTCCTAATTCTAGGGGAGGCTTTGACATGTAAATGAAAATGCTGTGAGCTATACAAATGCAAATCGGGGTCGCAGAGGGAGTTTTAGCCCAGGTGACATTTTTTTAAAAGGTAAGAAAATCTCTGGTACAAATAGATCAGGCTCAGTAGCCTAATTATAGACTCTTACATTTTAGCTTGAATTGATTTATTTAATTCAAATATGCTAGATTACTGTGTACGCCATTAGCAATGACAAATGTTATGTAAAAAAGATACACAAAATAACTTCTTTAAAAAACTAGTTTTAATCAAGGTAAAATGAGCATTCCATGCAAACAACATTTGAATCAGCATGAGGGGTCTGCAGAGATCACAGTCTGCTAGAGCTCAACTACAGTGCATAGTGGCAGGACTACAGTGACCTTTTCTTTGGTCTTACTTAAATGCACAGAGGATGTATTAACCACACATCTTCTAGCAATGCGCTCAACTGGCAGAAATGATGCTGGGTATGACGTGTCTGTTCCCTGCAAGCCCCAAACTTCTATTGGCTTTCCATAAAAATGTCTGTCCGGGTGGGGATGAAGCCAGGAAACTTGTGCAAGAACATGTTTAAATGCCGTACCCTTTGACACAACATTAACAACTA